GTTTTTCATAGTTCTCCCTATAGAGATCTTTTACCTCCCTAGTTAAATATATTCCTAGGTATTTTATTTTCTTTGTTGCTATTGTGAAAGTTACTGAGTCTTTGATTTGGTTCTAAGATAGACTATTTGGTTCTAAGATAGACTATTGTTGGCATATAGGAATGCTACTGACTTCTGTACATTGATTTTGTAACCTGAAACTTTGCTGAATGTGTTTATGAACTCCAGTAGTCTTATGGCAGAATATTTGGGGTATTTTAGATATAAGATTATATTTTCAGCAAAGAGTGATAATTTGACCTATTCTGCCCCCATTTGGATGCCTTTGATTTCCTTCTCTTGTCCTACTTCCAACACTATGTTAAATAAAAGCAGTGATACAGGGCAACCTTGTCCAGTTCCAGTTCTGAGTGGGAATGCTTTCAATTTTTCCTCATCCAGTATTATGTTGGTTGTGGGTTTTTCATATATGGCCTCTATCATTTTAGGTAAGTGCTACCTATGCCTATTTTGTTAAGTGTTCTCATTATAAAAGGGTGCTGAATTTTGTTGAATGCTTTTTCTGCATCTAGAACTAGAAAAGGATGTGCAAACCAACTCCACATCCAGCAAAAGAAAAGAAATAACAAACATCAGAGCAGATGTAAATGAAATCAATAACAAAAAAATACACACAGATTAGTAAAACAAAAAGTTGGTTCTTCAAAAAAATAAACAAAATTGATACCCCTTTGGCTAGATTAATGAGAAGCAGAAAAGAAAAAACTCTAATAAGCTCCATCAAGAATAAAAAGGAGAAATTATAACTTATACCATGGAAATACAAAATATCTACGAATACTGTAAAAATCTCTGTGCACATAAACTTGAAAAAGAGGAGGAAATGGACAAACTCTTAGAATCACACAGTCTCCCTAGGCTCAATCAGGAAGAAATAGAATTCCTGAACACACCAATATCAAGTATGAAAATTGAAGCGGGAATAAAAAAGCCTTCCTAAAAAGAAAAGTCCTGAACCAGATGGTTTCATATTCAAATTTTACCAGAACTACAAAGAAGAATTGATGCCTATCTTTCAGAAATTATTCCACAACATTAAGAAGGAAGGAGTCCTCCCCAACACATTTTACAAAGCCAACATCACCCTAATACTGAAACCAGGAAAGGATGCAATAAAAAAAGAAAACTACAGACTGATACCCCTTATGAATATAGATGTAAAAATTCTCAACAAAATCCTAGCAAACCAATTTCTGGTGCTTATCAAAGGAATAATCCATCATGACCAAGTGGGCTTTATCCCAGAAATGCAGGGATGGCTCAGCATATGCAAATCTATAAATGTAATTCAACACACAAGCAGAAGTAAAAAATTTAGATCCTGATTTAGTCAGGGTTCTTCAGAAAGACAAGAGAACAAATTAGGGGAGTTGGCTCACTGACTGGGGAGGCTGGTGAGCCCCACCATCTGCCATCTGTAAGCTGGAGTCAGGGAAGCCAGCAGTGTGGCTCAGTCCATGTCTGAGGCCTCAGAGCCAGAGAAGCTGGAGAAGCCAGAGAAGTTACTGAGGTAACTCTGAGTCTGAGGCTCAAGAGCCCAGAGGAGTCTCTAGAGTAAGTCTTGGAACTAAAAAGTCAAGGAATCTGAAGTTCTGATGTCCAAAAACAGGAGAAGGATGCCCAGGCTCTGGAGGAGAGAGTAAGAATTTGCCTTCTATTCAATCTGGGCCCCAGCTAACTGGATGGTTCCCACCTACACTGAAGGCATATTTCTCCCACTAAGTCCACCAACACTAATGCCAGTCTCTCCAGAAACACCCTCACCGATACACCTGAGGCAGCCGTAGCCTTCAAATCAAACACCAAACTACCTGGATTTTTCTTCCAGCAGAACAAGGGTGAGCTCAGTGCCTGCTGAAGCACTGAGAGCAATTAATGAAATTGAGAATAAATAATGCTTTACCAACTATCTGCATATCCTTTAATCCACTCAAAGTGACACCTCAAATCCACCAACACCCCTCATCCATTTGAAGTTTATTTGTATGTATGTTGTGAAGTAAAGGCCTCATTTTATCTTTTTCAAAATGGCTTCAAAGAGTCCCAGCATAATTTATTTAAAAGTCTATCTTCACACTAGCAATTTGAGATAACATCTATATCATATTCTAAATTTCCTTATGTATGTGCGCCTAATCCTTTACTTTCTATTCTATTACACTGGTCATTTTTTCTATTAATACACTAGTACTGTATCTTCCAGTTTTGTTAATGCAATTTTAAACATTATTGAGATCATAAGGTATAAACAATTTTGTAGGCTGCTTTTTCATTTTACATTATAGCAGAAATAGTCTGTAACATTTAAAACACTTCTAGTTAAAATCATTTAAAGAAGTTTCATAATGTTCTCTTATGAATATAATTTACTTTAACATCCCTCATTTTTGGACATTTAGATTGCTTCCATTTTTTGCTATTATAAACAGTACAATAAGGAAGAAATAATATTTGATTTTTATTAAACTTATTTTGTGATAATTATTCATTCACATGCATTTGTAGGAAATAATACAAAGAGATTCCATGTGCCTTTTAGCCAGTGTCCCCAGTTATAATATCTTGTAGAACCATAGTATAATATCACAACCAAAATATTGACATTTATACAGTCAAGATACTGAATATTTTTGTGACCGCAAGGATCCTTCATGTTGTCCTTTTATAGACCCACCCATTTTGCTTTCACCTCATTTCAATATACTTCCTCCTTAACCCCTGGCAACCACTATTCTGTTCATTTCCATAATTTTGTCACTTCAAGAATAAGTGAATCACACAGTCTGTAACATTTTGAGATTGGCTTTTTTCACATAGCATAATTCTCTGGAGATTCATCCAAGTGTTGTATATATTAATAGTTTATTCCTTTCTATCACTGAGTTGGATATATCATAATTTAACCATTTATCATTACAGAACATCTAAATTGTTTCCATTTTGCAGCTATTACAAAGAAAGCTGGATGAACATTTATTAATGCCTAGGAGTACCATTGCCAGGTTATATGGTAGTTTCTGTTTTTGTAAGAAATTGTTAAGTGTCTCCTGTTACTTTATTTCCTGGAAGATATTTTGTAGATGGTGTAGAATTGGTGCTATTTCAGAATTGGTATAGATTTCTCAAGTGAAACCATGTGGGCCTGGAGATTTCTTTGTTGAGGGTTTTTAAATTATGTATTCAATTTTCCTAATAGTTGCAGGACTATTCAAATTACCTATTTCGTATCAGTTAAATTGTGATAGTTTGCACTTTTCAAATAACTGGTCCATTTCATCTAAGTTGTCAAATTTATGTGTGCAGAGCTGTTGATAGTATTCCCTTACTATCCTTTTGATGTCTGCAAGGTCTCTAGTGATAGTCTGTTTTATTCATGATATTGGTAATTTGTGTCTTTTATTTTTTTATATTGCTAGAGATTTGTAAATTTTATTGATTTTTTTAAAAAAATACTACCTTCTTATTTCATTTATTTTCTTTATTGTCTGTGTTTTCAATTTTATTGATTTCTGCTTTTATATTTATTTCCTTCCTTTTCCTAAATTAGGGTTTATTTTGCTCTTCTTTTTTTAGGTTGTTGGTTAGGGTAGAAGCTTAGATTATTGATTTGAGATGTTTCTTCTTTTCTAATCTAACAATTTAGGCATAAGTTTCTCTTATGCTGCTTTAACTGTGTCCCATAAATTTTGATATAGTATATTTTCATTTTCATGCAACTCAATTCATTTTTTAATTTCCATGGGATTTGCTCTTTGACACACAGTTTAGAGGTATTTTGTCTAGTTTTCAAAACAAACTTCAATATATTTTAATAACTGAAACAGCATGATACTGGCACAAGAACAGAGACAGACCAGAACTGAGAACCCAAATATAAAGCAATCTTCATATAGCCATTTCATCTTTGAAAAAACAGACAAAAACATACACTGGGAAAAAAATCTTTATTCAATAAATGGTGCTGGGAAAATTGGATAGCCACATGTAGAAGACTGAAACAGGATACATACCTTTCACCTCTCACAAAAATCAACTCATGGAGGATAATAGACTGAAACCTAAGGCATGAAACTGTAAGAATTCTAGAAGAAAATGTTAGAAAAACTCTAAGACACATTGGTCTAGGCAAAGAATTTATGAAGAAGACCCCAAAGGCAATCACAGCACCAACAAAAACAAATAAATGGGACCTGATCAAATTAAAAGGCTTCTACACAGCCAAGGAACCCATCACAAGAGCAAATAGACAACCTACAGAATGGGAGAAAATATTCACATGCTACCCATCTGATAAAGGACTGATAACTAGAATCTATACACAACTCGGGAAAATCAGCAAAAAAAAATCAAACAACCCTATCAAAAAGTGGGCAAAGGACATGAACGGAAAATTTTCAAAAAAAATTGACTAATGGCCAAAAAACATATGAAAAAATGTTCAACATCTCTACTCATCAGGGAAATGCAAATCAAAACCACAATGAGATATCACTTATCTCCAGTAAGAATGGCCTTTATCAAAAAGTCCAAAAACAATAAATGTTGACATGCATACAGAGAGATGGGAGCACTTAAACAAGGCTGGTGGAACTAAAAACTAGTACAACCCCTATGGAAAGTAATATGGAGATACCCCAAAGAGCTGCAAGTAGAACTACCAATGATCCAGCAATCCCAATACTGCACATTTACCCAAAGGTAAAAAGGCATTCTATAAAAAAGACATCTGCACTAGAATGTTTATAGCAGCACAATTCACAATTGCCAAGATGTAGAAACAACCCAGGTGCTCATCTATACATGAGTGCATTAATAAAATGTGGTATACGTCTATCAAAGAGATTTACTCACAAACCCTACATATAGGTCTTTCTAGTTACTGGTGTCCTCAGTTCCAAGTCCGAGATATACAGAGCAAAAATATAACCTGGAGAACTCACCACCATGATGTTGCTAGAGTCCAGAGGTCTCTAGGAAGTCTGTATTCTTCTCTCCACCTTTCAGAGTCTTCTTGGTTTTATATCTAATATCCAGGGTTTTTGTTGTACCTGGTAGAAAGAATAAGAAAAAGTGTAGCTACTCTAACTTCTCAAAAGCCTAATATTTGCTTTTAAAATTTACTATTGCTCTAGAATAAAGCCTATAAAATACAATTATTGAAGCAAAATATAAAATAATTTCAAATGCTCTTGGTATATATTTCCAAACTATTTTTAATGTACATTAATTATTAAGTTTATATGTAATATGGAATGTTTTATTGTACTAGCATTTATTGTTCTCTCTATCATTATATATTAGTGGGTTTTTTTTAAGTCTTTCCTAATTTGATAGATTAAATGCAGTGTTTCATAATTGTTCTAAGTTAGTTTTTGGTAATTAGTAATAGTGAACATTTTTTTCCCAAATGTTTTTCTTTGAGACAGGCTCTCGCTCTGTTTCCAGGGCTAGTCTTAAACTCTCAGCCTTAAGTTATCCTCCCACCTCAGCCTCTCCAAGTGCTAGGATTACAGACATGAGCTGCCAAGCCCAATCTTTTTTTCTAAATTTTAATAGGTACTTCTAGTTTTACTCTCATGATTTATTTTTTGTTCATAAATTTTTTGCTTTATTTCTTTTATCTCTTTATGAATTCTTAATATATCTAAATATTAAGTTTTATGTATCATATTTATTGCACTTTGTAGTCAGCTTTTTATTTGTCTATATTAATGTATTTTAGGGTATATACATTTTAACATTTTTGCCTAAATATGTTGATTTTTAAGTACATGTAATTATTTTCAACAATTTTAAGTTAAATATGCTTTCCAATCTAGACATAGAATAAATATTTCCTCTATTTTAAGTTTTTTTGTTTATTATATGGACAAATTATTAATTCACCTCCTATATATTTTAGTACAAGTTACAAATATAACTTTTGTGATATAAATGATGATTTCTATATTTTGGCATGTGGCTCGTTAATTTTCCTAAACCCATTTACTTCATTTTTTCAGAATTTTTTAGAAATGTTTTTGTGATCCCAGCTAAGTGTCTATCATGGGACTTTGAATTCTGGGCTGACATGCGTGCAAATGCAATATCTTCAATTCCTGGGGCTGGCAGAGATCAGCACCATTTGACTGATGGCCAGAGAACATGGAAGTCATATGTTTTCTGCATTCTTTGATGGATTGACACAATAACAATGATAGGGCCAAAGCAAATCCTACAGGATCCAATAAATGTCAATAGTTACCAGATTGTACATGAAGTCTTCCTTGAAGACTCTGAGGAAACCCTTACCACTTCACCATAGGAAGGTTCCTGACATTGTGAGGGAATTTCATGCATCTAGTCAGATCCAATGTAAATCTAGACTGAAGAAAATTTCAAAACAGAATCTTGTGATAAAATATAGGAAAGGATGGCCTTAAGTACGTAGTGTACCCCTACCAAAAACATGAGCTATTTGAGGCTATGTCCGTTTACTACAGAGTACATTTTACATAGTAAAATTTAAGTTATTTGAAGCCTGCCCCATCAGCTCTCCACTATGTGAACAGAATCATGAAATTTACCTAATTCATGCCAAATGACTTAAACCACCAGGGTCATTTTAAATGACATAAGCCATACTTTAGAAAATAGCAGATGTGCTCTGGAAATAGAAACAGAGTTCATAACTGTGATTTCCACAGGCAGACATTTCCTTCATCTTGTCTCTTTTTCTGGGCTCCCCATGTGCCTTCCTTACATATATCAGTTATGTCTCTCCTTGTCTTCCTTAATCCTCCCAGACCACCCTTCCGGTACTGCCACCCTTCTCCCTGGTGACAATTCAAACTTCCTCTCCCCGCCTTATTGGCCAACATGACACCCTAGTCTCAGATGTGATGACTTCCTCACTGGCTCCTGGGAAGTGGCATTTCTGAGTAGCCACATTCTCACGTATGGGCACAGTAAACTACTGTCCCACAGAATGAGCAGTTCAAAACACATATGCTTGAGGAGAGGACTTATGTTATGCAAGTAGACGGGATGAGATAGAATTTAACATGTCAGTATTCAAAACTTTCCCTTCTGTCTACTTAACTTTCTCACGCTGAAAAGAAAGAGTCCAAAGTTGCTTAGGAGGGTTATCACAAGAAAAGCAATCAGGAGAATAATTATAATACCAGGGCAGCTGTGTGCACTAAAGAAGGAGAGGGGGAACTAAATAAACAAGGTGGCATGATGAGAATGGGAGAGATGGACCGTTTGGAGTACAAAAGAGTAAGAAACTCTGAGTTTGGGATTTGGAAAATGGACCAAAACATTTTAATACAAGTTACCAAGAGTCGTTCTTAATGTTTAAGAGAAATATTGAATAAATATCAAAATACACATCTAGGTCTTGATCTTAAAAATGCAAAACTATTCTGGGACTAGAGTGGGCACTACTGGGATCACACTTCATAAATACTGCACATTCATTAAACCAACCATGCCTCCAGGGTCAGGCAGTGATGGAGAAGGTTGAGGGAGATGGTGAAATGGTATCTCTCAGATTAGAACACAGAGTATCAAGGAGCCTTACATGCCACAGCTATCAAGCCAATAGCTTCTTGAGGCCAGGGACACTGTCTTATTCATAATTACATTTCCAGTCCCTAGTTCAGAGTCTCAATACCTAGCACATGGACGGTATTTCATAAGTGTTTAGTGAATGAATGATAATGAATGAATGAATTTATCTGAATGGTTTCTGCAAATCAGATCAATCTATCCTTTCTGGATGATACCATCTCAACTCTACCAAGATAGTCTTTCTGGGAGAAACTTATAACACAGTGTTGCAAAGGCTACAGTGCAATCACTGTAGTTCAGACTAGACTAGCCATCATGATTATGCCTGATTCCCAGAGAAGAAAGTGGATCCCCAGATAGGAGCCAACTTAGAGATTTGAGAATAAAACAGGTATAGACTTTTAAATAACAGGTTTATAATAATCCTAAAAAACAGGGTTCATAATTTCACAATGGAAATTTCTGAAACTTTGCACTGTCCAAAGATTAGATAGATGATAGCCTGGCCCATGGAGGTGAAACTGAATATAGTTGAAAGGTTTAAGGATAAAGACAGGGTTAACTTATGCAGTTTATATTCCTGTAAATGAGATGTATTTTATATACACCCAGAAGGAAAGTTTGTTTGTATTGGTTTATGGTAATTCTCTAGTTCACTGTAGATATAATAATTAATAAAGCACTGTACTTTGCTAAGAGGAGTTAGAGCATTATTTACACATAATTCAATAAATAAAAAGTCTACAAAACATGGTGTTAATATAATTAGAGCCCATCACCCATACTAAAAGGGTTTGTTCTTTATACCTTCTTTTTCTAGGGTAAGACTGGTTTTACTGAACTATTATAGACAAGCTAAGAAAGAAGGAAAGGGGGAAAAAAGAAAAAGGGAAGCAAGAGAGGAGAGGGGAGAAGATAGGAGGGAAGGAAAGAGAGAGGGAGAGGAGGAAGAAGAGGAGAAAGATGAAAGACATCCATTTCTGGCAATATTGCAAATTAATTACACTGAATACTCCTGACAGAACCAACTAAAACAATGGATAAAAAATACATAGAAATGCATTTTTAAACACACTGCCGAATTGGCACAAAACTATCCACAGAGTTCAAAAGTTGACAAATGTTTATGGCAACACAATTCACTACTGCAAGGATGTGGAAACAACCTAAGAGCACATCAATTCATGAGTAGATTATTAAAATTTGTTATATGTATACAATGGAATATTACTCAATTATAAGAAATGACAGTGATCTAGCACTTCTTATGTTTTCCTGGATTGAGCTTGAGCCCATTATCCAAAGTGAGGTAACACAAGATCAGAAGAATAGGCTCCACTTGTACTCACCATCAAATTGGTACTGACTGATTAACACTATGGTGCTCACATGGTAGTAATATCCAACGCAATCCCCTCCAGAGATGGGAGACTGGGGGGTAAACTCACAACAATAGGACACGGCATGCATTTTTTGGGGGTAGGACATGCCTCTAATCCCCGCTAGGGAAAGGCAATGATATAAAATGTAACTAAAATGCGTATACCCTCATAATATCCTGAAATTAAAAAAAAATTGAAATGAAATCAAGAATCCTAGGAAAAAAGTAAGCGCCACAACTAGATTTTCCTTGAGGGCTTCCCCTGGACCCTAAAGACTCTAAGTTTCTGATGACCCAGAAACTTAGGATAAGGAATAAATATAGAGAATAGAGAATAAAACCCCAAGCCTTCAAGGGCTGCCTTCAGAGAGAGGATGAATGAGAAATCAACCCTGCCACACACAAGTGGATAGCAAGGATTACAACTACTCTCAATTTTGGCACTAGATAGAGGTAAGGAAATGTTATCTGATGATTTGTAATAATAAGCCAGCTCTCATGGGGTTTTGGTCCATATTCATATTATCTAAAAAACCTTACTGAGAGAATATTATTTAAAATGATTTCATATTGTTAGACACCCCAGGTTCTTGGGTGGATGAACTACAATCCTATTTGGAAGAATGTAATTTCAACCCAAGCCTAAAAGAATTCTTACAGAAAAAGTTCCCAGAAAAATAAAAAGCTCACAGTAGGGGGAAAAAAAAAAAAAAAGACAAAAGGACAAAAATGTCCCTTCACTAAGGAAACCAGCAGAAATAAACAAGGGCCTGTCCACAAAGGTAGCAACAAACACTTCAGATGTAATTTAAATACGGAACATAAATTACTTACATTTTATTTGGTGTTTAGAAATAGAAGAGAAACTTGAAACATAAGCAGGAAAACAAGAGACTAAACAACAACCAATAAGACTTGAAAAATCCACTAAGTAAAGACAATGAAACAGCAGATTAGAAACTGCCAGAAAGTGAGTAATTTTATGACTTCAGGGTAAGGAAGGGTTTCTTACATAAGACACTAAGATACAAAACCATAAGAAATAAATAATTCTATCCTTCATAGCACCCATGTGGCATTTCCTACATGCCAGGTGCCATTCTCATTACTTCA